CTTGCAGCTAGCTGCCTAGGACAGTCTTTTTACGTATTTACTTTTTCATTTATTTAGTTATTCACTGATACTTTTTTTTGTCCCGGCGAAAGGGCTATATCTTTTCCCATAATGAAACTCCGTTAATAGGGCTAAACGGCCACGTTCTGAAATGCCAACCTGTATAATCCTTCATAATTCTACCGCATTGTTACGGCCACATGAACAAATTACCATCAATAGTTGACCAATCAAAACAACTCGGACAGCACTTGAGAAACAATGTTGAATGATCCATTGTCGTTAGCGTGGGTATCCGCTGAGCTGAATTAAAAGGCGATTAAGACGAAATCCACAAGAAGTTCGAGTAACAAGTGGACAAAAACCTAGAACCAAGACTATTGACATCGTATTGCAAGCTTCTGTGCGACCGTTTGAAACATCTCAAAAAAATAAAAAAATAATTTCTAGCCACACCAAACGTGGAAAACGAATGTTGAACTTCGTACGAAACACTTGAAAGTTTTGCCTGTGTTTGCACAAGTTCTCTTAACTTTTAAATTTAGTTTCTCTCGTTTCCATGGGAAATTGTTTTCGGTTTTATTTCAGGCAATCATTTATGTATTTAGCTTTAAGAAAATGTAAAAATCACTGTAAAATATACTTAAAATTATTTTGGTACCAGATTTTTGTCCACTAAAACCTGAACATGCTCGATTTTCTATCGGATTTCGTCTTATATTGTTGTGCGCGCTTAGCAAAAAAGGCAATGATTAGCAAAGTTTTCAACACGGCTTGCTTTTTTTTCTTGGCGCTTGCTGCGGTCTATAATCCTGACTTTTTTTTTGCCTGGCTCACAAGAGCTCTCGGAAGTTAAGAAAGGCCAGGTTCGCTGCTAAGTTTGATAAGATGATATTTAAGCTTTTGGCCGAACGCATAGCCGACTTCCTCTGTTGTGGGTTAAGTTTATCTTTGGTTTAGAAATTTTCAAACCACTTGGATGTTTTATAGTTGCTTTTAACTTCAAGAAATGTTGAAGTCAATTTAGCCGTTTTAGATTTTTTTTTTCTTCCCGCCATTTTATTCTTTTATTCTTTGTATTTTTTTTACTTATTTCTTTTTTTGTCTCCTTAGTCTTCATGTTATATTTGCCATTAAATTGTAATAAATAAATTGTTACAATGAGTAAATGACCAAAGAAAAAGCAAAATCAAACCGGTTTGCAAAATTTGAAATCAGACATATTTAAGCCGTAACATCTACATAACGCTGATAAGCTGTGGATGGTACAGGGAAACCGGCCTCTCGAACCCTCAAACATTCTTCCATGACCCACCCGCGCGTCGGCTGCTTACGGTTAGCTATAGTCTGTTGTGCGGGTCAGCGACTATTATATTAATTTCGTAAATGTAAACAAAGTGAAATAAAATTCTTGCTTACCTGTCGCGTCTCTCCGCGTTATTTTCCCCTTGATTTCCTTCCTCAAATTCCGTCCCATGCGATGAAGCTGTGTATTTTGTTTTTTTCCTCAATGAAGTGGCGATCGGATCACGAACAGCGCATACAATGGTACGAGGAACAATTTACCCATCTTTGCGTACTTCACATAAGTCGGCGATATGGTTGATAATGTTGCCAAAAGGATCATCGCCATAGTGCTTACGCCACATCCATTCCTGCAGGTAGCTTTCGAAGAGATCTTTGGATGTTCCTGTATGAGGCATACTTTGTTGGACTCCCCACCATGTATTTTCAATGCACTGGGTGTGCGCACCTGTGTCTGGGTCTACGAAGTTTAGGCTGTGGTTAACTGTGATATGACTATAGTCCTCGTCTTTTAGGCAATCGTAAGCTTTCCACATGTCGCTCATCACGCGTGTCCCCGGCAATATGTGAGCAGTAATGGACGCTTATATGAGCGGTAACCAATCAGGAGCCGAGAAAGACAATAGGCTATTGTTTGGAGAACAATGGATGCTATTGTTCTCCAAATCTAAGATGGCGCTTTTTTTAAGCCAATCCGGAGCCGAATTAAGAATTCAAGATGGCGGCGCCCACAATAGTCGGCCATGTTGGAAAACAGCCCACCAGCCTCGAAGGAGGACTGGGATCGGTCTCACGGATTTCCATGGCGACACAAACTACGTCAGGGTCACGCCAAAAATGTCATGCAACTTCAAAATCGATACTTACAGTGTCGTGTGGTCCTAAACGACAGAGGTCCGTCTGGCAAGCGGCCAGAATGAGAGACTTGGGTCTGAGTCTAGGCTATATAAGGTGGTGCAAAGCATCATAGGACGATGACATCATCGGGAACCAATCAGAATGAATTAAAGTACTTACAGTGGTGGGCTTCCCCAGTCCCCCTCTCTTAAGGAAAGTATTAAACCAAACATCACACAATGTCAAATGTCACGAACCTTAATATCAAAACTTTTGCGCTCACATTACAAGATATGACGTCATTGCATTGTTGATCGAGTAAAAAGACCGGTTTCTATCGTCATCACAGTTTTTCAAATGAAGTTTACTGTCCAAATTGTTAGTGCTAAAATTACAGAAAGCTGGTCATTGTGTTTCAAATAAGATAACACTATTACAAAATGGAACAGAAATAATTTTATCTAGCGTAAATGCAATCCTTGACGAGTAACGAATAATAAGCGAAAACAAAAATATATAGGGTAAAAGGTGAGAAGAAAAATAAAATACAATTGAAATACT